CTCTTTATGCTCTGGTATATATATTCTCATATGTATACTTTCTCTGATTTCTCTGTTTTGCCATTGACTTGGATAAATGGGTTTCTTTGCTATTAGCTATGTGTATACATTGTAAAAGTGGTACTTGGTTGGAAAGGGGTCAATTAAGCCTTGGTTCTAAAACTTGGGTATTCCTTTCCCCATTAAGACATAGTGATCAGAAGTTTAGCTTGAACCTGAAAAACCACATTCTTAAAACTAAAAAATATTTAAGGGAGAAGATAGATACAGTTCCAGTCTGGTACTCTCTTCTGTCTGAGGAGAGTGGCCAAGCTTCTGGCCTCAACTCCTGTTTCCCATCCTGGCAGGAATTAAAATCTCCCTTGGAGAATGGTGGAGGGACAAGAGGCTAGAGATGTCAATTTTTGTCTCCCTGTGAGTCATACACAAAAGCATCCCCCCCCTCCCCATTACACATGGGGGATAGCCTCACAACATATATATGATAAATTGGAGATGGTATCAAAGGGAAGGCACTAACATTAAAGGGGAACATGAAAGTCTTCTTGTAGATGTGGGATTTGTGCTGATATTTGAAATAAACCAGGAGGCAGAGATGAGGAGGGAGAGAATTCTAGGCATAGGAGAGAGCCAGTGAAAATGCATAGAGACAAGATTCAGTGTCTTATTTGAGGAATAGCAGGAGGTTAGTGTCACTGGATCACAGAGTACCTGAAACGGAGCAAAGCGTAAGAAGAAAGGTGTAGTAAAAAACAAACAGGAAAAAAAGGAAAAAAAACCTTCTCCTACTTGTTCACTAGGGTTTGGGGCAAACAATGGCATAGGAGACATTTAGAATATGGCAACAAAAGAATTAGTATTATACAAGAGCCCAAATTAAACTCTTTAGAGAAAGACTTGGATATTATAAAGCACCAAATATGTGTCTCTTTTTCCCCTGAATATGATGTTTTTTTGAAAATGTAGATATTCAAGATTAATGAAATGAAATTTCATGAAACCAAAAGGTTAAGTAATTTTGTGCATATTTAAGCATGGTTGGATATATGACAATGCCACTTCTATGAATAGCCAAGGCTCTCCAGAGGTAAACAGAATGTTAAGAACTGCTAGCATCATCATCAACATCTAACATCTATGAGAATTTTTAACATTTACAAAGCATTTTATATATATTATCTTATTTGATCCTTACAACAATCCTGTGAGGTAAGTACTATTCCCATCCCCATTTGACCAATGATAAAACTGAGGCAAAGAGAGGTTTAGGAAATTGACTAGTGTTGCATAGCTTGTCTGAAGCAAGATATAAACTCAGGTCTTTCTAGTTCCAAATGCAACACTCTATCCACTTTATCCACCTCTCAGACTTACAAGTACTCTCAATTTTCTATCTGCCTAAAACATTCAGCAAGGTGTTGGCTCCAGGGCAAAGGGGAAAGCCCTTGAGATTGCAGGAGAAGAGGGACCAACTCAGAGCAGTTTTCTTGTTTCTTGTTTCCAGCCTTGTCAATGACTTCTCTTTTCTGCCTTAGGGGTATAGGACCAGCTATTTATGTGGTAATTCTGTTTCCTGGAATGTTCCTATGATCCCTTGGGCCAATGATACAACTTGCCAAGAGACCCTCAGAAAGTTGCAATAACCCCTCATGACTCCTTGTGAAGCTTTTCAGTGACTTTTTTAAAAAAAATCTGTGCTTTTAAAAATAAATAGCAGCAAATCTCTTTTTTTTTGCGTTGAAAATGCACAACAATGCTGTAAAGTAGGTACACTAAACATTATTTTTCTCATTTTATAGAAGAGGAAACTAAGGTTTGAGTCATGATGTGACTTTTCCCTAGTCATTAATCTGAGATTTGGGATGTGAACCCAGGTGTCATGAAGTTCAATACTTCACTATATTCATGGAGAGTTATCTGCAATCTGACTTCCAACCTCACTAAAACCACTCCCTCCCAAGGTATCAGTAATCTCTTAATTTCTAAATCTAATAATCCAAATTGTAGAACACTTAAATGGTACAGTGGATACAGCACTGGACTTGGACTCAAAAAGATCTGAGTTCTAATCCAGTCTGGAACATTTACTAGATGTATGAACCTGGGAGAGTCACTTGACCTTTGTTTGCCTCAAATTTTCCAAACTGTAAAATGGGGATAATAACAGCACCTACTCACAGGGTTGTAAAGTGCTTAGCACAGTGCCTGGTATATAGTAAGTGCTATATAAATATTTATTTCCTTCTCCTCTTAAGTTCCCCTCCATTTTCAATCCTCATTCTTCTTGATGTCTCTGTAACCTTTGACTGTTGGTCACCCCTTTTAATTTCTATTTTAATGACATTACTGTCTTTTGGTTCTTCTCTTACCTGTCAGACCAATCCCTCTCAGTCTCCATTTGATTTAGGTTGAACCTGCTAACTGTGGGTGTCTACAAAGCCTCTGTCCTTCGCCCTCTTCTCTTTTCCTTCCATGCTATTTCATTTGGTGATCCCATCAGATCCCATAAATTCAATTATCATCTCTGTACAGAGCATTCTCATAACTGTTTATCCACCTGACCTGTCTAGTGACTTCTAGATTTTTGGACATCTTGAACTGGATTTCCCATAGGTATCTTAAACTATGATCCGACCACACTCCTCTTCCCCCAACTCAACAAATGATAGTGGCTTTCTATTACCTTCAATATCAAATATAAAATCATCTGATTTTTAAAGCTATTCCTAGCCCTTTCTTATTCTTATTCTTAGACTCAAATGCTAAAAATTGATCTCATTTCTCTCCACTTCCTAACATCCTTATTATTGTAGAAGGTATCACTATCCTTTCAGTAACCCAGTATCCTTGAAACAGAAGTGTTATCCTAGATTCCTCACTCTCCCTCACCACCCTTTTATCATCCCCAGTCAGTTGCCAAGTCCTTTCAATTCTACCTTCATACTTTCTGTCTTCTAGCACTGCCACCACCTTGGTACAGGTCCTCATCACCTCAGGTCTGGACTAAAATGATACCTCCTGGTTAGTCTTTTTTCTTAAGTTCCACCATATTCCACTCTCCAGTCAGCTACCAACATAATCTTCCTAAAGCACAGCTCTGACCAATCCTCCTCACTCAATAAATAACCCTGGCTCACTATTACCTAGAGGATAAAATATCAGACCCTCTGTTTGGCTTTTAAAGCCCTTCATAAACTGCCCCATTTCTACCTTTCCAGTCTTCTCACACTTTACCCTCTTTGATGAACTCTGTGATCCAGTGACACTCACCTTCATGCTGTTTCTTAAACAAGATACTGAATCTCCAGTCTCTGTGCATTTTCACTGACTGTCCCCATGCCTGAAATTCTCTTCCTCCTTATTTCTATCTCCTGACTTCCTTTAAGTCTCAGCTAAAATCTTGCCTTCAGAAAGAAGCTGTCCCTAATCAATGCTAGTGATTTCACTCTGAGATTACCTCCAATTTATACTGTATGTCTTTTTTCTTTCTTCTTTTTTTATATGGTTATTTGCATGTCTATTCCCATTGGATTGTGAGCTCCTTGAAAGCAGGAATTATTTTCACTTTTGTTTTTAATTCCTAGCACAGTGCCTGGCACACAGTAGATGCTTAATAAGTGCTTGTTGACTAGAGTATAACTTGGGAGAGTATATGAAGGGAATGATTTCTTAGCATCTATATGCAGTGCAGTGGCTCCCAGAATATCTGGTGCCTAGTATGATACCTGGCAAATAATGAGCACTGAATAAATGTTTGCTGAATTGAGTATTTTCAATGGTTTACTGAGACCGACATGAGACATCTCTGTTTCCTGTGTGGTATATATGTCTTTTCTTTACCAAATGGATTTTAAACTTCTGGAAGGTACTACCTTAAATTTCTTAGTATCTCCTAGATTGCTCAGCATGGTGCTTCACATATAATTAACACCTATTAAAAGATGTTGATTGATGGATTAAATACTTTTTTGAATGGCATATCTAGAACATCTGCCCATCTAAAGAAATCCTAGATTCATAAATTTTTAAAATCTGAAGGTACCCAAGAGATCATCTAAGCCTAAACCTTCATGAAGAAACTGAGACCCAAAGAGGTTAAGTGACTTTTCCTAGGTCATACATCTAGTTAATGGCAGATGACATAAGATGGGTCGAATAAGATAACTGAAACAGCTTTGGGGAAATGTATATAATGGCTATTAATTTCTCTGTCCTATTTCAGTGAGCTAATAATCATCTCAAGGGCAGAAATAGTGTCTTCTCTGTGTTCTGTAACCAACTCTCACAGTCAGTGTAATTGATGATGATGTGGCACCCTGTGGGTGAGTGCTCAACACCTATTACTTATTTATTTTTTGAGATATTGCCACACTATGTGACCTAGGACGTATCAATTAACTTCTTCATACCTCACTTTCCTCATCTATACGATGCAGACAGTACTACTTGCCTTACCAATCCCTCTCCCCTGCAAAGATTCTCTGCAAATAAATGAGGTAATGTTTGTGACACGCTTTCAGCTTGTTAAAGAGCCCCACTACAGAAATTCTAGGCATTATTATGGTGAGCTATTTAGCGTATGGGGTTTTATTTGTTACGGCTTGAGATGGAGCTATTTGTTGGAGTCCTAGGTTCCCTGCTGAAAATTTGGGTCAAGATGTAGGTCTGAATATTTTTTATTTTTAAATTTTGTAGATGGGCGCTGCTCGGCTCCGCACGTGTGTGGTTAAACTATAAAGAAAATAAACAAAGCCAATAAATCACCCCTTGAAAGAGAAAAATCTCCATTCTGAAGGCTTTTCCCAGTGAAGAGAGTGAACACTGCATTTCCCTAGAGAGATATTTAGGTCCAAGAGAGAAGATAGTGCATGCAGGGTATGTATGTGTATGTGTGCGCGGGCAGGGAGGAGGGGGGATGAGGAGGATGAGATCATAGTTTCAGGATCCTCAGGAAACCCTGGTACTGGCAGCAGCCAGCCTCTGCTGTGCCCACATGACCCACAACTCCGGGAGCAGCCCCGGCACTTCTGACATTATTAAATAATAAGAAAGAGGATCCTTCCCCAACCTCACACTTATGCACACTCGCGCGCACACACACACAGGTATACATACACACGTTCACAAGTGGACACCTTCTAAGAGTTTGGAGAGTGTCGAGGACTGACTGAGCTCAGCAAGCCGGTTCCTCGGAAGGTGTGTGGAAAAGCTTTTTTTCTTCCCCCCTCGGATGACAGCTCTGGAGGCAGCGCGGTGGTGAGGGGAGCCAAAGGGTGAGGACCAGTGGGTGGGGGTGGGGTGGGAGGGGAGGGGTATGTATGTGTGTATGTGAATGTGTAGCCGAGTGGGCGTAAAGCCCGGGCTGAGCCGGTGCACGCTGCCCCCGGCTCGCCGTAGAGAGGCTCTGTGAATCGGGAGGTGCTCATGACGTGCATTACACAGCTGCGCAGGGACCGCAGCAGCAGCAGCAGCAGCAGCAGCAGCAGCAGCCGCTGACACCACCTCCGGGAGAAAAGGAGGAGGTGGGGGTGGAGGTGGTGGAAAGGGGGCACTGAGGCAGGAGGAAGGGCAGTGCAAAAGGAGGCAAAGTAAATAGTGGAAAGAGCTAACTGGGGATGGGAAGGAGGACCATGGGGGAGGAGAAGGGGAGGCTTACAACCCCCCATGCCCAAACACCCACTTCGCAGGGCTTCCCCACCTGTGCCGCTGGCTTTTAGCCGGAGCAAGTCCCAAGCATGTGCCAGGAGCCGCAGCCTCTGCGGTGCAGCATCCCCCACCCCCTGCTCCCCGGGCCGGTAGCGGGCAGCAGCAGCGTGGGGAGCGGCGGCAGCGCGAGGCGGGCTCTCCCTGGAGCTCCCGGACTCCGCACTAGGTTGGCTTCGGTAGGGACTGCTGCATGATGATGACCTTACAGGGTGTGCATTACCTCACAGGTAAATATCAGCTGATCAGCGCCCAGTGGCAGCAGCGAGCACCCAGACAGCCCTCCCAGCAGCAGCGGCGGCGGCGGCAGCGGCGGCAGCGGCGGCAGTGGCATCGGCCACCGCCGAGAGAGGCAGCCAAGGGAGCAGCTCTGGAGGTAGCGAGCGATTCCTTTCCTCATCCTTGTTATTACTGTTCTGGCGTCTCTCCTTCGTCTAGGCTAGGAGGGAGGGAGAGCCGCTTGGGAGTCGGGGTCCCCAAGCCCCCACAAAGGGATGCTCCTCACTTGGGGAAACTGACTGAGGAATATTTACCAGGAAATACTGGATGGGTTTATTTCCCTGGAAGCTGTGGCTCCCAACGTTTCAGGGCACCGCGGTGTCAAGGCAAATGGCTAAGAGGGCAAAGGTGGGGGTTGGGGGTCGCCGGGGTTTTCCGTTTCTAAATCCTGTTGCCCACTTCAGAGTTTTCTGTTGAAGGGAGGGAGGGAGAAAAAAAAGAGGGAAAGCAATATTTATATTGGTTCATTCTTATTTTCTGAGTGGAAGATAGAGAGATGTCTTTCAAAAGACCCAAAGCAGAGGGAGATGACTGGCCAGGAGAAGGAGGGGCTTCCTCACTGACATCTTCGTTTCTGCTTAAGTGCTACTTGCCTGGGACAAGGTAATAAAGCACCTCTCGTTTCAGCAAAGCTTTGCTGGAGACGTCACAGTAGAACTCCAAGGAGAGGTTGTAGGTCTTCTTCACTTAACAGTCAAGCATCGGTCTGGTGGAACCCGGGGTTTCTTTCATTGGTTTGTGCGCGTGCTGTTGGACTTTGTAGAAGTAAAGTTGTTCCCCTTGAATAGGTTTTTACAAGTACAAATGCCTGCTGCCTCTCATTACACTTGTTTGCCATTTCGCTTATAGAACTAGACATAATAAATGCAGGTGTCGTATACATCTGGACTTTCTTAGGCTACTGAAACATACTTTTCCTCAATACACGAGTTTTGTGCATGCGTTCTTAGTACTGAATAATTTAGTTGCATCATATAGTTCCGCTTGAAGACAGTATCATTAGTTTTAGTCAGGTTGTTCATAAAACTGCCACAGGGTCCATGCTTTCACATTTTAGCAGAGTTTTATGCAATTTTAAGTTATGCTGTAGTACTTAGGGGAAGGTGTTGAAACAACAGGTTATTATGAGGCAAACTACTGAACCAACACTTCAGAACTAATTTTAAAGTTCTTAAGTCACCAATCTGTTCTTGGCTTACGATTTGGCAGTCATTTTCTTCACAATGCAGCCTTACATATCTTTGGGTTTGGCTGTGTTTTGAAGCTGTTTTAATTATATTTAATCCAGTCACAGTGACAGGGGATTGGGTAGATTTTTAAAAAATCATTCTCTTTTATGATTTAAAACTTGGCTATGTATTTTTGTACATGTGTATATGTCTTATACCGCATTGTATAGATGTATTCGTAGCAATTTAGTTATGAGGAACAAAGTAATCTACAGCCTTTAGTTGTAAAAATACCTAAAAAGCCTTGGTAGTTTTAAATGTGCCATAATATAAAGTATTTAACAAGACATTTTTATATGACCAATTACTATTCAGCTGAGCATACCACGGAATCATGGTATTATCTGTTTAATTGATTAAATGTCTCCTCTAACCTTATTCATTTGCAAGGGATTCTTTCAAATAAATACAAATCTGCCTTTCCTCCAACTGTTTGAAACTATTTAAAAACCCACAATTTTAATGTGATTTCCTTACTCTAGATAAATGAACTTGATATAGATGTATCCAAACTTATGCCATGTAACTATAATTTTCGTAACCTGGATGGGTTAGCTGGATGGATTAGCTCAATTGGTTAGTGTAAATATCAGGGTGATAATTTTAAGTTCTATAAAGGGCATTGTTTTTTCCTTTTTAAAATGTAATAGAGTTAGCACTGGGTCTATAATCAAGGGTCCTGGGTTTGAAACCATATTCTGATGCTTACTACCTGTGTGACCTTGGACAAGTCACATCAATTCTCTGGGTCTCATTTCCTTTATTTCTATATTGAGAGTGATTCATTAGATGCCTTCTAAAACCTCTTCTAGCTCCAAATCCCATGAAACTTTGGACTTAAAACATGTTAAAATTCTTAGGAGTAAATCCTATGTAAAATGTGGGTATATTTGCTTAAAGTTATATTAAAGTTATTCATCATTATCACTGGTTTTAGAATCAAGAAGATATGAGGCGGAATCCTGCCTCAGACACTAACTGTACAACTCTTAGCAATTCTAACTTCTCTAAGTCCCAGTTTCCTCATCTGTAAAATGGGCATAATAATGGTACTTATCTGACAGAGCTGTTGTGAGGATCAAGGGAGATAATATATGGGAAAGCATTTTGCAAAACTTAAAGCATTCTATAAATGCTGTTATTATAAATATCAACAAAAAAGGGAAAAGGCTGTACTCACACTTCTGAGAAAAATATACAAACAGTAAAAAAAAAAAGATAGCAATTTGTCACCAATCCATCAATTGATAGCATTTCCTTTATAGTATAAATACTTTAAGGGTTAATTTTTTCAAAGTTTAGTGATTCTTACAAATTCCATATGTTCCCACAATAGTCATAACGAATCTATCACTATCTACAGGTACTTTTGATATTCAGAAATAAATAAATATTCGAGGCTTGTATAATAAATAATTTACCTTTATTATAACAGCAAAGTTTTAAGTATGTATATATGTATATGTGTGTGTGACCAAGGGCACAAAATCCATACATACTACCTTACATTTATCTTATTTTTTCAATTAACATGTATTTTCCAACCCTCTCACTTTCACAGATTTAAAAGAAAAAAAAGCTCTTGTAACAAATATTCATATTCAAACAAAATGCATTTCCATGTTGTCCATGTCCAGAAATGCATGTCTCCTTCAGCATCTTGAATCCATCACTTCTCTGTCAAGAGATGCCTTAGCTTAGATCATCATTAATCCTCTGGAATCATAATCAGTGTATTGATCAGAGGTCTTAGATCTTTCAAGTTTTTTTGTCCCTTAAAACACTTCTATTATTATTCTTCTGGTTCTTCTTATTTCCTTCTGTATTAGTTCATAGAGGTCTTCCCAGGTTTTCTAAACCATGAATTTCATCACTGATTATGGCACTCTGGTATTCCATTAAAATTATATACATGATTTGTCCAGTCATTCCCTAATCAATAGGCTCCCCCCTTGGTTTCCAGTCCTTTTGCTACTACAAAGAGCTGCCAAAAACACTAGACTGGGTTAGAGTCTTGACTCTGTTTCTAGCTGTTACCTAATGAAAATCTTTTGACCTCTCTGAGTTTCAGTTTCCTTATTTACAAAATGGACATAATACTACTTGTATTACCTACCTTAGAATGTTGTTGCTAATATCATTACTCCAAAGTTCTTTAATTTTATTGGTGCAAATATTCCTCCCATAAAGAAATATGGCAATCCCTCTATGGCTTAATAAATGCCTTTGAAAGTTGTGGTGACTAAAAAAATTTATCACCTGGTAGCCAACTTGGTGATAAGATCCTCTGAACTTAGCTAGGATGGTCCTTGGGAAGTCAACATCACCATCACCAGACCCAAAAACAAAGCCTCTTCAGCTTAGTAGAATTTTAAGTAGAGACTGAATTTTTCTAAAAAAAAAAGGGCTTGAGAACCCAGGGTTACCTCCATACCTGGATAAGACAATAACAGGGTAGGACTTTGGCTAAAAGGCTTAAATTAGATAATGTAGTTAAATCACTTTACAAACCATAACGCTATATATTTATTTGTAAGCTATTACTGTTTTAGTGGATGGGAAGTTCATTTTGTGTCAACAATGAGGTATGGCTATTTAAAAAAAATGAGCAACCAATACTACAAAGATTGCATTATGAAAGAATGAGTTGATAGTAGTTCTGTTATATTCTGTCCTGGCAAGACCATACCTGATTATTGTTCTGGACAAGATATTGGCGATGGGAAGCGTGTTTAGAGGAAGGTAATCAAAGCGGTGATAGGATTTGGAACCATAGCTAGAGAAGAAGACTCAGAAAGGACATGATAATTAGCTTCACACAATTGACAGGTTATCTTGTTGAAGAGGATTTAAGCTTGATCTGTTTTATCTTGATTTTAGGTCATTAAAAGGGGCCGGCAGTTGGGGGGCGGGGATGGAACATTCTAATGGTAACAGCTACCCAAAAGTGAAATCTGCTGTGTTGGGAGGAAATGAGTTCCTCATCACTGGAGGCCCTCAAATGGGCTGGATGAAATTACCTGTTCTGGTATGTGATAAAGTAGACAATCTCTAAGGTTTCATGAAGCTCCAAGAGTCTATGAATATGTAATGCTATGATCCCTAACTTCAGAAAGTTTTTATATTCCTTGAATCAACTTATTTAATTTTGGCATTAACCTTCCCTTAATGGCAACTTGTCATTCAGTGTTAGATATGGTTTATTTCTACCCTGCCTGTTAATAAGATCTCTCTTTTATTTCTTCCCTGTCGGACTTTAAAAGAAAACACAACTTTTTTCTCTCAGTTAAAAAGCTCCTCTTTGCCTTTCTCTGGCTGTACCTTCAGGTCAATAAATATAGACTACAAGCCACATTGTTGGAATACTTCATAAACTGGGAATGAACATGGGATGCTGGAATGGAAAGAGCAGGAATTCTCTTAATTATAAAGGTAGGAGGATGAGCTAAGCTTAGCAAACAGCAGAGAAAAACTGGTAAGAGAGTATAAATCAATCAAAAAGCACTTTATAAACCGCATATTCTGGACCAAAAAAAAAAATGAAACAATCCTTGATCTAAGAGAGCTCATATTAGAAGAAACAACATGTACACAGAGATACATATACAGAATAAAAAGTACAAAATTAATACAAAGTAGTTAAATACAAGGTGTTTAGGGAGGGAAGGGACTAAGAGTTGGCAGATCCAGAAAACCTACATGTACAAGGGAGTACTTGAGATGTGTCTTGAAGACAATTAGAGATATTTGGAGGTGGAGTAAGGAGAGAATGCATTCTAAACCTGGACAGTAAATAGCAAAGACTCAGAGGGGTGTGTGAGGAACAGAAGAAAATCAATTTGACTGGACTGCAGAGTTTAAGGAGAGT